CAAAGGCGCACATATCTAATGTTCCATAGGTTACGGTATGCTTCATGAGAAGGCGTTGAAAGTGTTTGGTAAACCAAATCTTGGAAGTCGCAGGATTTTCAATGATGAAAAACCTACCATGTTCAATCTGATAAAGAGCGACTCTTGCACAAAATTCTACCATGGGGAGATACTTTTTCCTTTTCTGATAAGTATCGGCAGGATCATTAATATTCTGCATTTGACTCCATGGTCCACAAACAGGTGCCATGTGGATGATTTTTGGCTGTTGTCGCTCAATGACTTCCATTGCCTTTCGCCGGCCTTCGGCAGTGAGCAAGTCGTAACCTGTGCGGAGGTCTATTGGAGCGCCGACTCGAAGCCCTTGCATTGCTGCCGCTTGACTAAGCTTGGCAGAGCCGCTAAACAGCTCAAGGAAATCTAATTTTCCGGTCATAGCTGGCTCCCATGTATAACAACCATATGTAATACCTTCAGGACCTGACTGAATGGCATCGTGTTCTATGATGTTATTTGCATGGTCATCTGAGCGGCATGTGGACTTCACTGCTGTACAGGCGCCCTTGGCCGAAGATTCGGCACCGGCGGCAGCTTTGGCCGAAAAGTCGGCACTGGCAAGTGCAATTGGTTCTAAAGGAATGTCAATATCCTCAATAGGATTATGGTCTTTTCTTATTTTACTGATGTTGACCTTCACGATTCTGGTTCCTAAATCAACTCCAACCATACTGCCATCTACGGAAACCAACTTTCCTTTTATCCATTTTCCTCCATGTGAACCGTCTGATTTGATTTTTGATTTGTCTTCGGTCCAATAGTAAACTTTATCTCCAGGAAAGAATGGTCCATCACTAAGTTGAAGTTTACTCGCAATATCTCTTCGAAGGTCATCAGATTGTTTTGCCTCTAGAAACTTTCGCATCGCCAGTGACCTTAGTGCTTCAATCTGTCTCTCAGGAGCAGGGGCCTCAGTCGTGAGCTGTGCTGGATTCATGAGCTCAATCGCCGTAAGATCGGCAGGCCTTCTACCAAATGCTAATTCAATAGGAGTGACACCACCGAGTGTTACCATGGTGTTCCTTGAAATGCAGGCTTGTCTCAACAACTGTTTATAAGTAATGTTAGCAAGCAATGGATCATCCTTCAAGGAAATTAGCATTAATGAGACCTGTTTCTTAAACATGCGAATGGCTGCCTCAGCTCGATTTGGCCATGGTGTTCCTGGTCCTAGAGAGATTGGCCTGATGCTGTGCCGGTTATAATAACTCTCCATCTCAGTGCCCATGAAAGCTTGATCGGCAACAATGTATTTTGGATTCAGCTGATAAGTTTCAAAGTATTCTTGAAGATGAGAAATCGTCACCGGATCAGATCTGTTTTGAACTACAAAAGCAGTAGTCAAAGAGGTTGCACCGTCATACATAAGTAGGAATTGAAGTTTTGACTGAGGATTGATAGGAACTTCTCCATGATCAATGAAAGTAAGTTCACCAAAGACTTCACTTCGGATTCCTGAAACCTTAGCTCTCGATGGTGCAATCCTGGCAGTGGAACATGTGTCACATGATTTAGTAATCTGATCAAATTTGTCATAAATTTCTTTCGGCAACTTCAGAGCTGATGTTCTTCTCTTGAATTGTTCAGTGGTCATATGATAATGCTTCAAATGTAACTTGAGAAGTTCTGTGGGTGATTGAAGCTTATCATGAATTCTCTGAAGTGCAAGTGACAAAGTTCCCTTAGGTGACGGTTCCTTTTTCTCTTCAAGTTTTACCTCAACCTTTGATTCCGGTTTGACTTCAGTTTCTTCTTCAATCTGAGGTTCCCGACGTCTTGGGATACCGTCCTTTGAACCGGAACTTGGCCCTGAGGCCACCATTGGCTCTTCATCAGGATCAAAAGGTTTAGCTGGTACTTCTAACTTGCTATCAGGCTGAATTATCTTCTTGACAATCTTCTTAGGATCAGGCTTGGCCGGTTTCGGCACCTCTGCTGGCTTAGGCTCTGATCCCTTGAATCTCTTGCAACCTTCTTTGTTGGTGTGTGGTCGATGTTTACCATTGCATGCTGGGCATGTGATGTCTTCGGACTGAAAGCTGTACATCGGTTTCCAACTGGAAGTAGCAAGAGCCATAATGTCAAGGACTGGATGGTTGGATGTACTGACCGCTAATGCGGTGCGCTGCATTCCAAACAGTGGACAAGTCATGAACTCACCTACAGGAGTGTGCTCAATGTTCATGCGAAGATTCCTCATTTGTTCAACTGAAAAGAGGATAGGAACCTTACCTTTGTCCAGAATGTCAACGCATGTTGTAATCCAACCAGTTTGTGCACGATCATTGCGAAAATGAATCACTAACCTTTCCTTGACAGTAGATTGTTCTCCATTGGCAAATGAAAACTTACTTGAACACGGTTGCTTAGAAAACCAAATGTGATCACGCTTGGGATGTTGTTGGCAAGCCTGTACAAGGCGATCAATGGCAAAGCGGGATCCCATGGCTCGAGTGCAACCTGAGTCAAGAATGACATAAGTCGGATGAGAACCTAAATCTACATATTCACAAAGTAATGCTTGTTGGGCACCATGATCATAATTGAGAAATACACACTCTTCCGTTGAGACGGAATCGAGCGGGCTTGTGCGCGGCTGAAACGAATGCAGATCACCGTTTCCGGTAGAAACACTCTTCTCAACTTGGCGGATGCTCTTCAATAGGGACCTGTTCAAATCAGAAAAGCACTGGTACATAACAGACACGAACAGAAGCACGAATGTGAGGGCCTCTACAAGTTCGTGTCCGAACAATCGGAACAAGCGGATGCCTGAAAAACAGAACCGGTTGATCTTGTCGGTCTGTCCGTCCTCGAAAATGATGTCTGAATGCTTGTCCTCGGATTCGGTCAGTTCCTCAGTGGAAGCAAAATACGACCAATTGTACCAATCACCTTGGGAGTAATCTCCGTCATATCCATAGTAGGATTCATAACCTGACCAGTCGTCTGTCCAGTATGTGTCATAGTCATAACTCCAGCTTTCTTCGGCATGGGCTGTTTCTTGTTTTTCAGGGGCTTGTGATGCACTGGATGATGCAGCCTGTGCTACATTAGCTTGTGGAGGTTGTGACAAAAATGGATTGTTTCCTCCTTTGTTCTTCGCATCACCTTTTCCTTTTCCTTTCCATGAAGGCATTCCTTTGAAAGAATCCTTTCCTTTCATCATTCCTTTCTTGCCCTTTTTACCTTTTCCTTTGCCCTTGCCTTTTCCCCAGAAAGCTGTGTCTTGCTGGTCATCTTCCCATGCTGCAAAACCTTTGCCTTTTGACCTCGAGCGGAAGCCGGGTCTTGATTTCTTTCCTCCTTTCTTGCCATAACCTTTTGGTCTACCTTTCTTGAAGGACCTGCCGTAGATGCGGCGCTTAGAGTATGAACCCTTGGCGCTGAGAACCCAGAACTCGTTCTCGGTGTACAGACCTGTGAAACCTTCTTCACCCGTCTCTTCATCGAAGACCCAAAATCCGTACTCACCTTCTTCGGTCTCGCCCTCGTCGATGACGTAGAAGTTGGACCGCTTGCGGTGCGTGATATTTGGGTCTGCAACACCTGTGCGGGAAACGGCAAAAAGTTCTAAGAACAGCTGTTTCACTTGGAGATAGGTGTATTGAGGCATTGCAATCTGACGGATGTTCATGGACGAGACAAAACGCTCTCGTTGTTGCTCGTTGAGGTCTGCTTGCACTAGAAAAATCAGTGACATCAAATTGTCTGACAATGGAAACTGCTGTGCATGTCTGGTCCTTCTATTGGTTATGGTCTGTTCTCTCAATTCTTGTTGAAAAGCTAGCTTATCTTCATCTGTTACTATTGCATTATATTGCAGTCTTTGCTCATCTGTGAGTGCTGCTGTAAATGCCTGAGTGCCTGCTTCGGGAAGATCGGATATGTCCAGCAGATCGGACCAAGAAGCCAACAAACGCTTCTGCGCGATCTCAAATCGCCCTATCCAGTGCACGAATTCGCTCTGGCCTCGATATGTGCGAAACATCTGGAGGAATCGCCAAAGGAACACATGATTTACTCCCTTCACGAAGTATGGTCTCAATGTGTCCTTGAAATGAGCGAGGCCACGATCCGGATCTCGGAGTAGGGCATTATCGAGCATCGACTTATAAAAAGAAGCGGAACCAATGAGGGCATTCTTTAATGATGGTCCGTGTTTATCTGCATCCAATGTTGTGATCCCTAACCAGTCATCAATTAAATCTTCATATTCAAACCAGCTTGATTGGCCATCAAATTGGGGTGGAACCTTCGGTGTCATTTTGATGCCCATCCGGTTTTCGGAATGACTGGTGGCGGCATATGCTTCAGGCTCTTCATAAGAGACAATCTGGAGTTGTTCTTCATCTGAATCCATGTTGTGGATTAAGACCATGGCAGCTACTCTAACTTGACCTACAGGTTGCCTCCGCAAGTCCGATATACGGAATGTATGCAGAGAACGGCAGTTCGGCACACAGATCTAGACTTGGCGAAGGCACAGGCTCCGCTACCACTTTGAGGTAGCTATCCCCGTATTAGGGGAGCCCTGAATTACGGATCTAACACCTGCGGTCAGCGGCAAGACTGCGACTCTTTTTCTACGCGGCTTTGCTAGTCTTGAGCCATGCGGAGTGCGCATGAAAGATATGAATTAGGTGTACATGTCAACATGCATGAAAGCATTGTGTAGACACGTAAAACAAAATAAATCACAGGGGGAGGGGGAAGATCTCATATGGGACCAGTATATGGGACCCATCCCATATGGGGGGGGGAGGGGGGGTGGCAGGGCCTGGTGCATATATATATAACTGTATATATAACTATATATATATAATACTGTAATATATTTTGTATATGACATGTTTGTGAAAAATGGAAGATTTGGTAACAAGTGTGTTAATCCCCTGCACCCTCTGCCCCAACTGGTGACTTGTCCACCGCATGCCACACTCCTCGTTGGGTTTGATAGTGACCGTCTTGCCGTCCAAGTCGCCCTGCGGACGTGCCGTCTCAAACGTTGCCTACGAAAGAACGCTCGCCTCGTGGAAACCGGAAAACCAAACAAAATCCTGAAGCAAAACCATGGCTTCAAATGGCAGTGTGTCAAAACCTTGTACCCCTGGTGAACATCAAAATAGCTGGTAAATGGATGTTCATTCCCCTAAAAATGGCATTAATAGGTATTGATCCATAGCCAAATGTTTATAGGTTTGTTTGGAAACAAAGCCACTAATCAGTAATCAGTCACAATATCACTTTGATTCAATGGATGTCCGCAGCCCACCGGTAAACGGATTGAAGCCTTTCATTGACAGTGGATTTCGATTCGGCTCACAGTTCTAAGGTGTGGGTCAAAACCCCATCCCCATGATTTCTCCACCAGAATAGCTGGCTTTTCTGGATGTTCCCCCATCAACCGATGGTCCTGGCAATGACGCATTCGCATCTGCTCAACTGATTTCCCCCATTTTTTGGCAAAAATGAAGCCGTTATTCCATTTATTGCAATTGGTGGTGCTGCGTCTATTAACCCACCCATTGGCCATTACCCATGAAGCCAATGAGTCGATTGTCCATGATCCCCTTCAGCGAGGTTTACCAAGCAATGATCTCCCATGGTTGTTACAGCAAGTCCCAAATTTACTGGTTTTTCGGGATGGAAAACCCCCAGTTTCAAATGCCTTTTGAGGAAAAAATTGGGAAAACTACTTCCAGGATGTTGTGGAGTGTGTTTCCCAAAAAAATCTCCAGGTGTCCAACTCGTTGATCAATTTGGGTTTCCATATCCCCATCTGAATATGGCACCTGCGTCAGCTCTTCCAGTCTTTCGCGTAGGTCAAAGAGGTCCTCTTTGCGTCGAGTCTGAACGAATTGG